TTGATCTTCTCCAGCCCAATGTCTTGTTTATGAGATTCTTTCCGCTGCCTGATCGGAAAAAAATGCATTACGGCTGTTGTTTTATCGGAAATAACATCATGATGTTATAGCATACAGTATAATATGCTGGTACTGTCACTTTAGAAAATTCAGTTATTTGTATATATCATATGCCCAGAACAAAAAAACTGTTGAATTTAGAGAGAGTATAGAGGTTTAAGTAGAGCAATAACCGACACAAGTTCATGCCCATATTTGGGTGAAACTTCATTAATATAACAAGCCTCAGGCCCATGAGTCTGTACCTTTTTAAAAGCAGTAAGCAGTGGCAGATTCTATATTTCTGTACTTAAAGGCTGACTTTAAAACAAAACTCCATTCATGAAAGCATTCAGTTAAAGTGTTATTAAACCCTCCGTTTTTTGTGCATATACTGTATATAGTGCTAGCAAGCAGTAGATATATGCAACAACTTAAAAAAAAATAAAACACTTTAAAAGAGGTTTAAACTTACCTGTGTATTCGCCACGCACTCCCGTCTGAAAATATGAAAAATCTCAGGCGACCGCAAAGGTTCTTGGGGCAGGCGCATGCGCATTTAAGATTTTTGGCCGGGAGACGAGGAGAGACACAAGGTAAGTCTATGGACGGCGTGACCCCGCACAGACTCCGTGGGACATGAAGTGCCAACAAGCACAGGAGTCAGCGCTGGATCGGAGACCCGCAGCAGCACTGGAGAGATGGCTGAAAATGACAGGAAAGAAGAAGAAGATCGGATTAAGAGACATCATTTAAGGTAAGTGCTTACACTAACATTGGGGGGGAAGGAAAAAAAATACTTTAATGTCACTTTAAGTATATTCCTCAATTGCCACAAAAAAAAAAAAATCTACATTCATATCATCACTGGAAATAGCCCGTCAAAGAGTCGAGCTGTGACTGGAACTTAGCAGGTCATCACACTAAAGGCAGTCTGCAGAAAACTTTAAGGGGGTGGATACAAGCACATTCCCAGCAATGTAGAAGTGATCCGTCGGCCAATTCACCTTTACCAGAAAGCCAATATATCATTATAAAAAGGTAAACAAACTCCCAGCTGCTATAGTGGCAAGGAGTTTCTTTAAGTATAAAAACAATATGTGATCAGCGCCAGTATTAGTTTCTTTACATGTCGATGCTGCTGCAGACGTGATCCTTACAGCGGCAGCAGAACAAATGTTAAATAACCATTTTATATAACTAATTATGCAGAACCTAGCTACCAACATTTAAAAAGAAACAATTGAAGAAGAAAGAAGTCAAAGAAACTGTTTAAGAAAGTCTCCTTAAGACAATTTTTACCTCCCCTAAGATAGGCTAGCCCAAGGATTCCACTGCTTATCTACTTCTAAAACACTAGTTTCCTTGCTGTTACATTGATCCCCTGAATGTGGTACTTTCTGAGTCACGGACCAGTACATAGATCAGGAGTTCTGGATACCTATTCCAGGTCAGTTACTAATAAAGCACTGAAGGCAGTCAGACAAATAGCATTTCAAAAGCAGGCCAGTGATGTCAGCCCCTGTATCTTTCTCATGGAAGATGTCCTGTAGCATTCTTAAGTTGACACTTACCCATGTGTTCATGATCTGTTGTTAGTGTCCTCTGGACGTGGTATCCATGAGGGCTCAGATTGAAAAGAGATGATCATTATGGTATAGGAAACAGTAGAATCGGTGATCCATCAGGCAGGAAATCTTATATACAGTCTTGATGTAACGACTTTTACTGTAGGAGGATAAAATGTGAGGCGAGTGATCTTTTCAGTCACCAGATGCCATAATAACACTAAGCCAAAAAGTTTTTTCAGTACCGATCAGAAGATACTGACCTGTCATTCTGGCAGTTGCTTTGGTAACAAGGCACGTTCTATAATGGTGCCCAGCGTCAATGTTTTTTTAATACTATTTTCACCAATAAAAAAGGATCGCTGAACCAGGTCAGACGCCCGGTGTTTTTTCTTCTTTTCCATGCAGTCCTCAGGATTCCTTGTCTGTTACGGGGCGGCCGTGCTGGATTCCTATTAACTCTTCTGGCCATAGGAGGGTACCTTTGGTTGTGCATATTTGGCGCTGGTTGTGTAATTTTTGAGGCTTGGGAATTCAAAATATGTTGCTGGGCGCCGTGTGTCAGCTTGAGGTGGGGTTGTCTGGCCGCGAGGTAGCTCCACCCATACGTGCATTGCTTGCACATCCCTCACGTGTCCTGTAGAGGTGCCTGGACCAGAATGATGTCACATACTGGCTCCTGGCACCTCTACAGGGTGCACAAGAGAGCTGTGCAAGCAAAGCACATATGGATGGAACTCCGTCACAGCACAGCAGCCTACACTGGACCCCAGGCTGAGGATTCACTCCAGTTCTCATAAGATAGGGAGACTGTGTGGACCTAAAAAAAATTTATTTTTAAATTGGGAGTGTGTGTGTGAGAATGTGTTTGTATGTATGTAAGTCAGTGTTTTTGAGGGCCCGTTTACACTAGTACAGTGTGTTAAACTGTACCACGCAATCGCACCTACCATGCATTCTTACGCCCACACCGGAAAGCGTGGTACTCCAATGCTATGCAATTTGGGTCACAACTTAAAGGAGAACTATGGGGTTCTATCTTTTCTTTATTATTGCATTCATTAGGCTAAATAAGTAAATTGTGCAATTTACTCCTATTAGCCAAAATGCACCCTAAGCCTGTAAACCCTTCTTTAAGATAGATAGATAGATAGATAGATAGAGAGAGAGAGAGAGAGCCCTCTCTCTTCATAATTTACTACAAATGGGCAAGTCCATATATGGTGAATGATATCACTGGAGATCCCTGCTGATCGGATGCTTGCCAGTCTGCAGGGATCCCCAGTGACATAATTCACCATATATGGACTTGCCCATTTGTAGTAAATGATGAAGAGAGAGCCCTCATTTGATTGATGTCAGCGTCACACAGGGCAGGGAGAGAGAGAGAGAGAGGGGAAGGTGCCCTCTCTTTCTCTCTTCATCATTTACCACATATGGGCAAGTCCTTATATGATGAATGATGTCACTGGGGATCCCTGCTGATCGGATGCTTGACAGTCGGCAGGGATACCCAGTGACATCATTCACCATATATGGACTTACCCATTTCTGGTAAATGATGGAGAGATGGCTCTTTATCCCCTCTCTCTCTCCCCCTGTGTGACGCTGACAACCTAATTACTGGGGATCGCTGATGAGAGAGGGGAAAGAGCACTGAATGTGGAGGGAGGCTGAGTCCGTTTATTTTTTACAGTCTCTTGCTGCTGCCTTTTAACTTCAGACTCCGCCTCCCGCTCACAAATGCCAGCGTGCAGGCGCTGACAAAACACAGCTGTGCACGATGAGAGGAAGCGCGGCCACAGCAATGGGATAACTCGAAAAAAAAGCTGTGGGCGGGCTGGATCAACGGTTAACGCCCCCTAAGAGGAAAGGAGCTCGGAGCAGGGCTGAAGATGGCCGTTTATTACAGGTTTTGAAGATTTTATCTGTGATGTGCTGCGACTTTATAAAAAAGGAAGAATGCTACTACAATCAAGGTAAGGGGTATTTTTATTTTCCCTTAGGTCATAATTCTCCTTTAATGACCAAGGACAAATGTGGGTCCTGAGGTTACACAGGTTTAGAACCACTGGACTAGACTATTCTAAAGGGGAACACACCCAGACTTGTGACAGGTTTAAAACTGCTGACCAACACACCTCATTGTAAAGAAATCTGTTTAGTAAATAGGGTACACAGCCAAAGGGCGATGTACTGCTATGTCTTGAAATGTGAATATTTAACTCCTGAGTTTGTCACTTTAACCTGTTCAGTGGGGCTACCCCAGCACTGCAGGAGTTAATTTTTACAATGCCTTGAGTTGCACTTTATAATAAGCTTCAGAATTGCTGAAGATGCACACGCTCAAATGTGAATGGTGGCTTAGATTGTTGTCCCACTAACTAGAAAATCTATGTACAGGGTGTAACCATCACTTTTCCAAATAACAGAGGAGCTATGATGATTAGAGATGAGCCTGTAGGCTTGATGTGATTCCAGTTTGCCTGAGTTTGCCCAAGACTCCTCCATACTCTGACCGCCACCCCTCCTCCTCACCCTATCAGTAACGGCAGTTGTGGTGGGGCATTCCCCAGCCCTTTCTGACGTACAGCTGCAGGGTGGGAAATGCGCCTCCTTCACAACTGATTGGGTCAGGAGGAGAAGGTGGCAGTCAGATTTGAGCAGCTTGTGATCAGAGGCGTCCCTACAATTTTCAGGGAGGCAGGGAAGGGGTGTAGGCAGCACACGTTAGGGTGAGGGGCCTTGGGTGCATGGTACCTCTGTCCGGCATCCTGCCCAGCTCACTGACATCACTGGTTTCCAGCAGCTGGGTGGGATGCCAGCCAGAGCAATCAGCTCAGCTGCTGGCGACCAACGGCGTCTGTGAGCTGGGCGGGATGGCGGGCAGAGCGTCACACGATGCCAAGAGCTCATACCAACCTGGGGCACTCTGGTCGGAAAAGGGGTGACAACAGGCACACCTGCCACCCCCCTCTCCACGTGACCCAATGAGATGCCACCTAAGGCAACAGCCTCAGGCTGGCTTATTATAGGGATGGTCCTGCTTGTGATGATGACAGCATTTACTGAAATAAAAAAATGGTTATTATTTACAGTAAACATTACTATAGCAAACTAAATGTCTTCCAGGTGCGGTTTACACCTACTGTAAATGATTACAAATCTTGAAGCTACATATAATATTATCACTGGAACCTATTACATTACAATAGTCTCACCACACCACCTTAAACTTTCCGCACGTCACGTCTTCCGGATCAGCCGGTTCTGCGATTGGTTGGAATCTTCCTGAGCGCACCAAAAAGAGGCTCGGAACGCAGAATAGGAAGCGGCTACCGGTGTTTCGGCTGGGCGGATCACGTGACGGGGAATTGCTCGCGGCTCCCAGCTGACAGCCTCAGGTGACAGGTGTGCTTGTCCAGGTGCCCGGTGTTGGGGCCGGAAGTACGTTCAGCGGCATGGAGAAGCATAGGAAGTGTGTCGTTGTCACAGGTAAGTAAAAGGGGCAATGACGACAAGCACTGTAAAGAAGACTTTAGCAGCGCGGTATATGAATGGTATTTAAATACATCACATGTCTAGTAAAGTCGGTGTAACACGTGCGGCTGCCCAGTTGACAGGTGTTTGTGTAATCTATTCGTACTAGTCCTGTCCGCTACTGCCAGGGTTTTTAGTTTAGAAGTATCTTGCTGGTACTTCATCTGTAGACAATACAATTACCGGTGTTTTATGTTGCAGCTGCTGATCCATTCATTCATTTACACTTTCACTCGGCCCTTCTAATCCTACAGATCAAAGTTACAGCATGTCTCATTGTGAACTCTATATTAACCTTTCGCCTCTGATATCCTGCACATCTGCCCATTAACCCCTTTAACTCTAGCCTCCCACTGTATGTGACCTGTTCATTTAACCCTTTACCTCCTGATTAGTGATATGCAGGGGGCTTGGTCGACTGAGGTTTCCCATGCCTGTGCAAAACTGTGACTGACTGACTGACTCACCCCCATTCATTTTCAGGGACCATTCCCCTTTGTGCCTGTACCCACTCAAACAAAGATGAACTTGTTTTGCACCAAGCCCCTGCTCATCACTACTCCTGATCTCTTTATGTATGACCTGCTCTTCTGTATCCTTACCAAGCTCCATGTTTTAACGCCTTCAATACCAGCATGTTTCCTTCATTGCCACAAAAATGGGTGAAAAAATGAGATCACCTTGTGGTGCCTACTTTCCAAAAAAGGGATAATTTCAGGGGTGTTTGCACTGTCCCGTAATTTTTATTTTAACAGGAAGTAAAGGAATTTTTGGTCTTTAAGCAGTGTTAATTTTGGCGACAAATTTCAATTTAGTTTTAGTCTTAGCCTTTTGACTGAAATGCCATTTTAGTTCTCGTCGTATTTTAGTCATCTGAATCTTTTTAGTGTTAGTCTGGTTTTGTCAACTAAAATCTAATGGGTTTATTTATTTGGCAGTGGGGATGGGGAAGTAAATGGGTGTGAGGGAGGGAACAAGTCTTGAATAGGCTGTTACATGGTGCTAACTTGCTAGGGAGATAAGGGGAGAAACACTCGCATGACAGTAGCAGACCAATCCGATGGAGTATTCTCTGCGGTTTGCAGGGCGATGATCCAGGCGCCAGGGAGACCAATGGAGCTTGCGTCTCAGCCAATCCAGCTGCTGAGAGTCGGGGGACTGGGGCTTTGGCGGAGTTCCGAGGGAGCCGGTAGTCTAAATGCAATAGTCCCTCCCCATTTTCATCGTGTTTTCGTTCGTCGATGAAAATTGCCACACATTTTCCTCATAGTTTTAGTCCTATTAACTTGTTAAGTTTTTTTTTGTTTTTTTTTTTTAAATTTAGTTTTCGTCACTAAAAACCCTCAGTTGAGGAAAGTTATGATAAATTCTTTGCCGAAATTAACTTTTTTTTTTTTTTTTCCTACCACCAAAAGCAAAATCTATTTCTCTAAAATAAAATTAAAATATAAAATTTTATTTGGGTACAGTGTTGGATGAGTAATTGTCAGGTACACTATTACAGCACTGAAAAAATGGCCTGGGTAGGTAAGTACAGGCTTTTACTACAGTGGTTAATAATGTTTACCTGTTACAATGGCAAGTCTGGCAGATTACTTGTCAAATTATTAAGTGTATCTGTCTTCATTGCTATTCATCATATCTTAATCTTTTCAGTAAGTGATTATCAGGTTTACGTTAAGTAAATCTATGCTGAGGGAAATATGGGGGCTGCCATTGCTTTTGGAATGTGTTAGTTGCCTTGCTGTTATGCCAATTCCAGTACTTCCAGAGGCAGTGATCAAGAACAAATGTGCAACTCGAGTTCTGACTGCATTGGTGGTGTTTGTTCTAGAACTCAAAGTATTGAATTCAGTGTGGCTAGGCTACTAGCATTTTCATAAGTAGTTAGGCAATGGCAACCCCTGTAATTCTCCCAGCCCAGGTTCCCTTTAAATCTGTTTATGGACTTGTTCACATGCCATTTTTCCAGCGCAGCTTGAATGCAAGACAAGGCAATTTGCCTTGTCATGTGTGGGCTCGGTTTACACCACAGCGTTCCAGTGGTGTGTTCTTAAGGGGGGGCCACCGCAGTACAACTGCATCGCACCATGGTGAACCCATAGAACTGAATAAAATGTCACCTCTGACATTTCAAAATGTCACACTAGCAGCTGTGTGGTTGAGCTCTACAGACAAGAGTAAGAGGCCAGGCTAGAGTTAATGAGCATTGAGCCATTTATGAGTAATCCAAAGTGCATTTGGTACAAGCTGCCGAGGAGAGTATGGATGAGTTCACAGGAATGTGTCATGCCTATTTTATTAACTCATTGAAAATCCCCTACTAAAGTTTGCAATTTAAAGTATATCATGAGCCCAAACTTTTTTGTTTTCTTTCAATATGACGAGTAATGATTAGAACCCCAGGTGCTTTGTTTCCTCTTCTCCCCCCCCCCCAACTCCTGACCAATTTTAAGTGAACAAGAAATTCTGAAAAGACAGGGTTAAATCCACTCAAGTTGTCACTGGAACAGGTGTCCATATTGGGAGTATTTTCTATCGGTTCTGGTTAAAGTACATGAGAAATCAGACTTAAGGCATAAACGTGCGTGTGTCCTTTTTATAAACTTGTGATCATATTCTTAAGTGGACCCCCTGGAAAAGCACCTTGTCCCCATGCCGATGGGGTCAGGGGCCTCTTCAGGGTTGTGGGGGTCTGCTGGCAGGGGGGGCTCACCTACCCCTGGGTACCCCCTTGCATAAAGGCATTCGGCTATTCACTCTGCTGTTTTGGCCACTTTGAGAATAGGGGTGAACAGCAACAAGTGAGCCGCCCAACGTACTTCCCTTCAGTTCAGCCTAACATGCTGAAGCCAGCCGATTTATGGTTGAAAATTGCGAAAATAGTGAAAAACGGCTTCGGCTCCCTGCACTTCGGGTTGGTTATTCACTTGGCTGCCTTCGGCAGCTTAGTGAATAACCCCCTTGAACTTTGCATGTTCAAAACAAGTGCTAAAGCAGTAAGGAAACATGTTAAGCTCTGTTAGCTGTCTGAAAAGCCACAGAAGAATCCAATCCACCTTCAAACATATGATTGTTCACACATTTGCGCCTGTGTACAGTATGTTGCTCATGGAAACCACAATGCTGAATTATGTTGTAATCTCATTGTTTCTGCAGGGTTTGGTCCTTTTGGTGAGCATGCTGTCAATGCAAGTTGGGTGGCCGTACAGGTTAGTGATTTATTTGTCTTCAATGAATTTGGGCTGACCAGCTGTGATAATAAGATATTTGTTCAACATATTATTTAATACGGGGTATTTTTTGACAAATCTGTCCAGCAGCAAGTTTTGTTGATATCTTTCTAATAATTCAGACCAGGCCTGGACAAAGAAAAGGATGAACAGGGTGGAGAAAAGTATTCTATAAAAAGGATGAACAAGGTGAAATGAGGTATTATATCAAAAAATACTGTAGCAATTGTTTGATACACGGGACCTTGGCAAACAAAATGTTTATTAGAGTGTAGAAATGGTTTAATTACTGACATTTGATACTTATGAGTGTGATATGCTGTGATCGTTTACATTTTTGGTTATGGGAAAAGTTGCAATTCCCCTCTTGTCATATGCCGGTTCTGAACTCCTGTCACCTTTCTTTTGTTTCCATCCCTGCCCTCTCCCATCCACACAGTGTTGTGAAGGACAGTGTCAGCTCTTCCCATCAGAAAATCTGAATCTGCACTTTTCTCTCTCTCCTCTCACCATATATAGTAAGTGTCTGCTTTAACTACTCCAGCAACTGGCTGCAAGTTTTCTCCCATGTGCCAGGGAACAGGTTACCATTCTGTTATCTGTCCAACCAGATTTCCTGACAGTGTCTTCCCCACAGAAGGCTACATGTCTCCCATCCCCATCCTGGCTTGCCTCACTCTCTACTTACTGACAGTTTTTGCCATGGATCTGCCAGTGAACTCCTTAATTTGCCTGGCAGATCTGCCGCTGCTGTTGTCTGTCAGCTAATACATGGTGAAGGTGTGCTTCTCCAGCACAGCTACTCTTCCCACACGCTAGGCACACACTCTACTCCCCTGGTCGCAGTTTTCTTGTTTGTACTTCACAAGGAAGTGTATTCTTAGACCACTGGACTATGCAGCTTACCTTCAAGTGATTGGACACTGGCAAATCAATCAAAGCTGCAGGATAGCCCTGTATAACCCCTCCCAGCCTGCCTTAGTTTTTGGCCAGCGTACTTGGGTGATGGACATCTTCTCTCAGCTCTGAGACAAGTACTTCTCTTTTTTTCCTGCTGCAGGGGAGCCACTGCTCATTTTGTACAAGTGATCTTGGCCACCGTACAGCCCAGGTCACTTGTAACAGGCTGCATGTGCTCTGTTTCTCTCTCTCTCTCTCTCTCTCTCTCTCTCTCTCTCTCCCCACCCAATTTAAAACCAACCCCGCTGCCCAGGCCATTTTCATGCAAATAAATGCACACGTAAGGGTGTATGTGCATGCTGAGCGCTGTCCCCATTCCTCAGTGTGCCATATTGTGGTAGCCGGGTAGCAGAGGTCTCGAACACGCACAATGTGCATTAAAGGGTAAGTTTACTTTCCCAAGTAATTTGAGAAAATGGAATTACCCGCTCAAATCTGGCTCACAAATCACCTGACCACGCTGACCAATGAAATGAGAAGCACTTCTTAGCACTGTTGAGTACAGTTTTGGAGAAAAATTATTTTTTGTATTACGACAAGATTGAGTCGTGTGTGTTTTTTTACAATTTCCACACCACTGTAGACATGAGACAAGACTGGACCAATTAGGAAAGAGCTAGTGGCCATGCCCACCAATCCGTTCTGTAAGTCTAGCTGGAGGGCGGTGCTAGCCATGGCAGCAGGTTGGGTTGATGTGTGGGAGGAGAAAAATTGAAGTTTTATGGAGTTAGGGTTCCAGCGCTTCTTCTGGGTTTTATCAGTGCGGAGGGTGAGAGTGGATGCAGCCAGCATGGAGCAGCCCGCACCGAAGAGGTAAGCTGCACAGCAGTCCCCATTCCCACACACTTAACCATTTGTTGACACCGCAGTGATCAGCACTGATTTCTACGATGTTTGTAAATTGAGGACATGGTATTCAGGTACTGTGTCCCCAATTATGAATGAACAGGAAAGTTCTCTACATCACTTTCTGTTTACGGTCTCCTCACTTTATAAATGAACAGGAAGCCTCTGTACAAAGTGCTTCCTGTTGAGTGCTTGGGCTGCAGAAAAAGAGATTGCGGACTCTGTGTCCTCCAATCTCTTTCTATTTTAAAAGGGAAATATCAGCGGTCTGTTTTTAGACCCCTAATATTTCCCCAAAGCCCCTAACAGTAAAGTGTTATTTAAATCACAGCCCCAGTGTGTGTGTGTGTGTGTGTGTGTGTGTGTGTGTGTGTATGAATATTATGTAGAGTAC